TTGCAAATAAATAAAATCTTAAAAAAAAAAAAAATTGAAAATACCCCTAACTGATATTCCATTTGCGACTTGCACACAGCAGCTGCTCAGTAAACACCAACAGATGTGGGTGGAGACTGCTCTTGTGCCCTGCCTCCCCACCCCACCGCCCCCCTTCACTGCTGGGTGTGTAACCCTAACACCCGACTGCGGCCAGGCCAATGCCACTTCCCCTTTCGGCTCCAAGTGAGGCCTAGTTCCCTAGCAACCATCCCAATTAGGTAATCATGCCATTTATCAGGATGCCAATTAATTATAATGATCCTAATGATTTTCCAATTAGGTAGTGCCTTGAATCCAATCAGGGGCATTGCAGACTCCCCAGGCAGGGCTCATCACAAGGAAGGCTGAGGCCCTCACCTGCAGGTCAGCTCTGAGGAGCCCCACCTTCCATGTCCCCCAGCCACGCAGGGCCCAGGCCTGATACAAAGCTGGGAACCTCAGAGCCACCTCTCCAGGGACAGGCCAATGTGACTCCATCACCAACCACAAGAGGGCCTCACCTGTAGGAGAATTTTAACCCTTCCACCATTGTGCCTTCAGTGGGCATAAACCTTCACCTCAGATGTCATGCTTTTTTCTTCCAATTTTAGTATATGTGCTGCTGAAGCGAGCACGTCATGCTTTTTTCTATCAGCCACATCTGATCTGTCTCTTTGCATTCCGAGTAGGGGAGAGTGTGTGCGTACTTGCAGGGGGATGGGCAGGAAACGTGGCCAGGCAATTGCACATTTTCCTTAGGGTAAAACCCCCTTGCAAACCAAATACAAATCTGAGATTCCCCCAAATACTGGAGATTTTTGGAGGAAAGTGGGATTATTGATGGGCTTCTGTCTTTCCAACTTTTATTGTCTAAATGTGTTTTCTTCCACTGAGCATGTACTTCTTCTACGTTTGGAAGAAAGACCAAGGTCATGGAGGGAGGAGAGCACAGTGGGTCAGAGTGGACGCCGGAGCCTCAGGGCCTCTTAGATCCAGGCTCTCCCACTGACCAATTGTCAGGAAGTCATGATCTGCTCTGTGCCTCCACTTCACTCTTCTTTAACATGATGAGAAGCACAGAACCTATCTTACAGGGTTTTTGTGCGGATTAAACGAGTTATTATGTACAAGGGGTTAGATCAGTGTTTGGCTCATAAAAACACCACCATCGTAAGTCTAGATTAAGCTCTTTCTTCGAACTGCAAGCTGGTCAGGAATTCTAATACTCTCTTGGAGGACAAGGCTTTTGTTTTCTTTCTGGGGGACTAAATCTAAGAACAGACTTGGCAGAGTTGGGTGATATTCCCAGTCTGGCTAACTTAGGAGACCAGAAGCTGCCCCTTGAGGCATGACCAAACAGATAAATTAAACCTATCCAGGGAAAGGAAGAGAGAAATGTCATCCCCAAATCAAAAGGCACACGCGTCAGGGTGCGCAACTATACTTCAACTAGGTCCTGTGGATGGCAGCTGAACATAGCTGTTGGGCAGGGGACACACGCATGCGTGTGCGCTCATGAACACACATGAGCACGCGCACACACACACACACTCTCCCACACAGCCACACCGTCCTCCTCCAAGCCTAGGCTTTTTACAATTAACTCATTATTCAACCCTTAAGTTTGAAAACTTAACATGTTATTAGGGTTTTTTAAAAAGCCATAAATTCAAATAAAAAAACCCCAAAACTATACGCAAAGCCCAAACACCAAACCCACATTGACTCTCAGCCATGGCAGTTAAAACACTGGGCATTTATGTACATACACTTGGCTCGAGGAAGGCAGATCCTTCATGTGCAAAAGTCCAAGGAGCCATCAGCCAAGCCTGCCACGGTTGCCCTTTGAGTTACTTTTTAGAACACTAATTTACACCCCCGGGCGGGCTGTTTTGATGAGTGTTCTCCCCTCCACGACGGAAGACAAGTAAAGCTGGGAGAACCTCTCTGACAAGGTGAGTGGTCTCCAGTCTGTCCCCCAACCCTCTTTACATATGTATGAATGGCTTTAATTTAATTAAAACCCTCCCGTGGTTCTGCGATGGGTGTCGGAGATGCAGTAAGAAGTCCCCTTCACTATTAACTAAGAGAGGAGAGTGGCCCTTGCTGCCCTGGGGACTGACCCCAGTGTCCTCCAGGGAAAGCCCATCCTACCCGCGACTCTGTCCCCAGAGAACCGGCTCAAGAGCAGCCTCCCCTTCCCTTCCCCGAAGGAAGGGAGGGTGGCGCTGTGGGACCGAGGCAGGGGCAGATGGAGGGGGCCAGGGTGGGCATCTCAGCATGCACAGATGTGCAGATGCCCAGATTCAACCGTAAGCTGAATGTAATTACTTGGTTAATTAAATATTGACTTTTAACTCAAAAAGTGATTAAAACAAGCTGCCGGAAAGAGAGGAGAGGGGCAGGGAAGGATGCAGAACTTTCAGGAAGGAGGAAGAGAAGGATGAGGATTGTCCTACTGTGTGCAGGGGACGTGGTCTTCAGTCTTAGGGCAGGTAGGAAATTGGGGACCGAGGTCACTGTGCAAAACTAGGATTTGCGGCTGTCTCTACATTTTCCCTATGTAAGACCGTCTCTCTTTACGAGGCTGCTCTCAAAGTGAACCGAGCGGGCTTCTGGCTCAGGAACTAGATACCGATCATCGCCTTTCCCTGGAACTAATGCGGTACCGGGCACGAGGACATGCTCCATAGATGCTTTTAGAACGAATGAACTACTATAAAGAATTAAATTAAAAAAAACAACAACCCAGAAAAGAAAGAAAAGTGCACTCCTACAAATCGCCTCACTGTCACACTTCTGAACCCCTCGGGAGCCCGCAGAGGGGAGCATCTCTCTACAAGGCGATGAGAACTAGGTCTGACCTGGCCTGGGAGGAAGTTTGTCTTTTCAATCCTATTTGCCCTTTCGGTATCTGCGAGTTCCCAGCCACCCTGAAGATCCGGTCCACCGCTTTCCCGTGTCCTGCCTGGACAAGCCCCACGTGGTCTGGCTTCTAGCCGGTCCGTTGGGTCTAAACTCAAAGGGGTCAAGGCGGCCATCCCCCCGCGGCCGGCGGGCCCGGGCGCGCCTCCCCCGGGGTCCTCTAGCGCTCCGCGCGGCTTCCGCGGGTCAGGGGCGCGGTGGGAAGTGCTCACCCGCTCGCCCGGCCCGCCGGCGGGG